AGAGTGTAACATTAAAACTAATTTACCTCTGTGGTTATTCATTCTTTTAATCATATGTGAACTTATAAGCATTTATTAATATGACTTTTCGAAAGCAACATACGAGCTCGCGTGTTGGCATTACATAATTACATGGGCTACATCTGAAGGAAAAACAGCCCAGCCAGCTGACGGGTACACGGGACCTTTAATGCAGCTGCAGCTCCTCATTCAGATGCTGAGCGGAGCAGCGGGTGACCGGAGGAGGGACGCTTTTCTAGGAAAACCAGATTCCAGCTCTATTGCAATTAGCGTTTTTGAAAACCCCACTTGATGACCACTGAGGGGTTTTCTGTTACTTGTAATATTTAGCAGAGAAAGTGCTGTCCTGAATGCAGACTGAGTGGATTGCGGCAGTAAACGCGTCCTGGCTGATCGGAGCTCAGCAGAGGCAGCAGCAGCATCACATTGTATGAAATGCGTCACCGCGATCCAGTTTTCCCATTTATACATATCGGGTTTCCACTCGCGGACTGTTCTCCGTACTGACTGTTTCATCAGGTAAGAATTCAGCATTTCCTTCCCTTATGTAAATATAGGCTTGAGATGGAACAATTGCAGACATTGTCCCCTGCGTAAAGCTGACATCTTGACAATTGTCCTAAACCTTTTTGCATGGAGTGCTGAAAAGGACTAAGCTAAATCTTAGGCCTGTAAATTATAATAGATGATGTATTGTCTCGACTTCTACCCCATCTTGTATTCATACGTCCATTTGTCAAACTGATCATCAGCATATGTGGTGGTCGGTGCGCACTTCCCATGTTAATTGTTTCAGATAGGTCTTATTAATGTAGCTCTGGCCAGTTAATGTGTTTGTGGGCGGGTTTCTGCCAGGCAGTCACCACTGGAGCTGTTTCAGTGTGTCTCATTTGTCTTCTTTTCGTGCAGGTAACCACATGCGCGGGCCGGTGTCACCGCGCTGAGCCCGGAGAGCACAAAGGGTACCTGGGTCAGAGAGACAAGCGCGGCTGAGAAAGGTGGACCGAATGACTGCCAGAACCTCTGAGGCCTCAGGACTGTCGGTGCCGCTGCACCGCTGTCACGGGGGTTTCCAGGCCAATAACGGCACCTGCGCGGAGCAGCTCAGCCTCTTTCTCCCGTTCTCCTCCACCCTGGCGCTCCTCGTGCTGGTGGCTGTGCTCGTGGGGATCATCCTCGTTTCCCTGGCAACGTTCCACTTCCACAAGAGGAAGCTTCGGAAGAGGAAGATCCAGCGCGCGCAGGAGGAATACGAGCGCGACAGTCGCAGCCCCTCGCGCACCGGGGCTAGCGGGGAGCCCGTGAAACCGTGCGTCATCGTCCGACCGGTGCGATGTGAGGTGAAGCTCTCGTGCCAGAGCGCAGAGAGCGGGGAAGTCCACGGAGCGCAGGAGGACAAACCTGACTGTTAACTCAGTGCAACTTCAGGGAACGAGACTCTGGAATAAACAGGAAAAGCAATAAGGCACAAAGAACTCCCACATCCATCTCCGCTGCTTGTAGATGACTTAGAAACAGTAGGGAAAATGCAGATAACCGAGCAGAATAACAGCCCTAGAGGAATCACTAGTACTACAGTCACACATACTGTAGGTTAGATATGGGGCCCACGCATAGTATTTAGCCAACACCTCGCGGGACTATATCAACTACTTGCTTGCTTTGACTTTTGGACCTCTTCCTCTTTCCCATCCTAAAACAGTGTTTAAACCTCAAAGATGTTTAAACTTTAAATCCTTCCTAGGATATGACACAGTTATGTTAAATTATTTGGAGCTGGTGACACAAGACAGACCATAGTGGCTCGCTGATATTACTTGGCATGTCCTCTGACACACTACCAATATGTAGTTAAATTATAATGGATGTCGTGGTGCTGTTAGGCAGTGCAAAGCTGCATATAGGCTATAGAAATAACTTATTTATTTGCATAGTATTTTCCTTCTATTTGCATAAATTACTGTTCTCCTATGTCTATTAGACATCTGTAAGTAGCTCTAGTTAGCCTGACAGGATGCAAGACTTTTTGCTGTAGTTATGCACATAAGATTTCTTCTTTAATGTATCAGATTGTAAGTTTAGTGCTAATATAGTATTTTCAACATGTGATAAATTGAGAATTCTTCCAACAGAGAGTTTCAGTTCCGCCTGCTCTTTCTGTTTGATCCGTCATATTGTATCAGTGAGCCTAATTGAAATTCTGTGTCATCAATTATATGAATTTGCTGTAAATGTATGCCATTATGAGAGATGGAATGTTTTACAGTAACATCATCTTTCTGGAGTTCATATAATCTGCCTTATCAAAGGAAATATGTAATATTCACAGTTTATAAATAAATACTTACCTTATGTTAATCCTTTGAATATGTCAGTAAACCTAAACATTTATAGTCTCTTGACCTTTAACAGACCTGAATGTTACTACTTAATTAAATGTGCCATTACACTGTATATTGAATTGACTGGAAAGTATTCTCAATATTCATCCAATATAACACAGCCTAGGTGACATTTGATAATAGGTTATGCAAATGTTTGCATGGATTTCACCCACCACACTAGACAAGTAAGTGACCTTTTGAGAGGAGACCCATAACATTTGCACAGGGTCCTTGCATAGGACCCAAAGAACCATGCCACCAAAGGACCATATGAACGACTGTAGAACCATGTGTACTGAATACAGGAATCAGGTCCACTGCATATACAACAAGCTCTGTCAGACATTCACTGTGATTTATTGACATGAAGGTTATCCATACAAGTACCATTCTAAATCGCAACATCACGCCACAGCATGTCTTCTTGGAGGTCACTGGGTGTGAATCAGCCATTGTGTTGGCCAGGTAACAGGACACGGTGTTCCTAATTGTCCCCAGGAAAAGAAAAAGGCCTGGGAATATGAAGCAGTCCTTGGCAAGGCTCCAGCCCTGGGAGATGCACCGACAGACTGCCTCTATCTTATCTCATTGGTGTAAGTGCTACAGAATGAAACCATTTGTCTTCACAGGGACACTGGAAGTAAGTCCACAGAAGATGACTAATGCATTATACATTTAAACACACTGTATGTATCGTTCAGGGCAATTTATAGATCAGGATCCTGAACATTATGTTCCCTGCATGAAAAAAGTACAGTCCGTAGTAATCATAGTCATAAATACAATATCTTTGCCTTCCAACCAATCTGTGGAAATACACCCCTCTCTCTTCGTCCTGGCTGCCAGACATTTTTCCATCAGCTAAAGAACGAATTCAATTTTATTTATGGGGGATGAAACAACTCTTTCAATTAATGGCAAAGTAAGATGAAAGATGAAGCTGGCTGGGTATCAGATGTGAGGAGTGGATGTGGCAAGGAATGGACATAAACCAGTGGTGAATTCTGTAGATGATACTGGCAGGTACAAGTGGATGATGGGTGGAGGTCAGTGGCTAGGAAAGGATGGGAACCGGCGGCCCTCAGTAGCCAGAAGTGAGTGGAGGTCAGTGGCTGAAAAGAGTTGAATTTGAAAGAAAGTGACACAGGGCGAGACATTTTTCAGTGATTTACAATGATTTTAGAAAGCATTAAATGGATAAAAATGCATTTTTCATCAAAACCATGTTTTAAAATGATTACATTCATTTTTAAATCAAAAACTGAAATCTCATTTATTTTAAAAACTATGTTTTATAGCAGTTTTTGGCTCATTTCCACTGCATTGCATCATGAGACAATACCATCCATCAACACCCTCCTCAAAAATCAAGAGAATAAAAATTCAGACCTTTAATTCAGTACTTTGTGGAATCCTTTTTGGCAGCCATTACAGCTTTGAGTCTTCTTGGGTAAGTCTCCGCAAGCTGCATTTTGGCAATTTATTCCATTCTTCCTGGCAGATCTTCTCAAGCACCATCAGATTGGATGGAAGCATCTGTGAACTGCCATCTTCAGGTCTCTCCACAAATGTTCTTCAGAGTTTACTGTAAGTCTGGACGTTCAGAGACTTGTCCTGAAGCCACACTAGCATTGTCTTGGCTGTGTGCTTCAGATCATTGCTATGCTGAAAGGTGAAATTCCACTGCAGTCTTAAGTCACATGCACTCTTGGAGCAGGTTTTCTTAAAGGACCTCTGTGTATTTGGCTGCATTCATGCTTCCCTTAGGTCTGATCAGTCTTCCTGTCCTTGCTGCTGAGAAGCCCCACCATAGCACAATGTTGCCATGCTTCACAGCAGAGATGGTATTAGCAGGTGATGAACAGGCCCCCGTGTTCACCACGGGCATGCAGTGTGAAACCATGTCCTGTGAGCTCAATATGCCACAGATGCATAAGTAAGGCTAACAGGATACACATGGCTACATGTGCAACAGAACAACAGTAAAGGGCCCGAATAGTGTTGTAAATTAGACAATTATCATTTGCAGTTTTTGAGTTTTAATACATTTGAAAACATTTCAAAATATGTTTTTCTTTTAAAGTGTGCAAATAGTGAAGGGGGTCTGAATACTTCCTGAAGCCACAGTTTGCTCTGGGAATAGCCTAGTTCTTGTGCATAGCCTAATTTAGAATTAATGAGGCCAGTTTCCACAGTTTTGTCGTCCCAGCAGGTCAGCTCCTCTGTAGGCTACTGCAGAGAGACTCTGCAAGGGGTGTTGATTGGCCAGTGAGTTGATGAGATCCACCAAGGCTATTTACTGTAGCATTATTATGGTTGTGTGAATTGTGTATGCCGCCTCAGGCGACTGGTTTTTAGTTAGTAAAACCTATAAGCATTTAAATAGGAACATAAATTAAGAATATTTGTGATTAAAGCTACATTATGTAACTTCAACTCAATCCACTCTTCTCTGCCCCAGCACTCCCTCTCCCCACTCCACTACGCTCTGCCCAGCTCTTCAGTCGTTTGTCTTTATGAAATTACAATAAATCAGAATGCAACAAAACTTACTGATCAAGTAGAAAAAAAATTGAAAATCTCTGATTTGTAAGAGAAGTTAATCTTGCTCAAAACCTTTTAGAAGCAAATATCAGAATCAGAATTAAAATCAGCTTTAACTGGCAAGTAAGTTGAGCTTACAAGAAATTTGTATTTGTGTTCTGGCAACAGGCAATAAGCATTATATTATATATACAAGCATTACATTATAGTTTATACATATGTACATTCGAGCTATCAGACTGGCGCCTGTGGCAGGCTCTATCCACAGTTTAATGCACCTTGGTCATGTTACTGCAGTCCTGGTTAACTATTCATCAGGGTGATGGTTATAGACATAGAGCGTTAGTTAGAGGTATCTATCTGTTCATCAGAGTGATGGCGAGGAGGAAGAAACTGTCTGTGTCTGGTTATTTTGGCATACAGTGACATGTAGTGTGGTCCAGAGGGGAGGAGTTCAAACAGCTTTTGTGCTGGGTGTGAGGGGTCTGCATGAATCTTCTCTGCCCTTCTCTTGACCTTTGAGGTGAACAGGTCCTCTAAGGAGGGCAGGCTTGCAACCAATTATCTTTTCTGCAGTTCTGACTGTTTGCTGGAGTCTGCTCCTGTCCTGTTTGCTTGCTGAACCAAACCGGACAGTGATGGATGAGCAGAAGACAGACTATGATTCCTCTGTAGAACTGTATCAGCAGCTCCTGGGGAAAGTTGAACTTCCCAAGCTGGTGCAGGAAGTTCATCCTCTGCTGTGCCTGTTTGATGATGGTTCTAATGTTGGGTGTCTAATTCAGATCCTGGGAGATTGTGAAGCCTATGAACTTGTGAGACTTCACTGCTGATACAGTGCTGTGGAGTATGGTGAGGGGGGATAGAGTGGTGGATAGAGCATGGCTGGGTCACACAGGAGGCTTTTGTCGTTTTTACACTGAGATCCGGCACTACTGCCGTTCCAAAGGGTCAACAATATCCTGCCCTTGTGTTGTTCAGAAGCAGACTCTGTGAGATGTGTTGTGATTGGGGCATCATTCAAGTAGCAACAGAACAACTCTGGTCGTTCCTACACGGCCTGGCACATAAACTGCTGGGACCACTAATTGATGGGTTTCTGGTGGCATTCAATATGAAGCTAACACCAGCCTGCCAACCTGCCAAGGGGCCACGCTTTAACAAAACAACATGGGGGAAAACACAACACTGGAATGATTAAAAACTCCACAGTCCACTGCATCATACACTGGAAAAATTCAGCCCACATTTAACAGCATTAATCCACTGGAATTAAACAGTTTCATAAGGTAAAGAGATGAATCAGACCTGCATTCAGTTACTGCCTTCACAGACTGATGAGGCTTTGCTCTCAACTTTACACCGCATTTTGATTATTCCACTGAGCTGCATTAGCAGATTGGTTCTGTGCTTTTTATCTCAGCTCGGAGCGATGACAAGTGGACAACTCACTGTCAGAGAGAGAGAGGACATGGCTGCTCCTGTTCTCACCTCTGCTGTCACAGTTTGAGGCAGACGATTTGTCACCACCAGTGTCTGTTTATACGCTTCATTACTCCAGGATCACGCTGTGGCTGTCAGGTCACCAAGCACTCACACAAGTTCCTCCACTGCTCTGTGAGGCAAAGAATAACAGATCAGCCGCTGGAGCTATTAAACATGATCCTTAATTCTACCATCTGATTCATAGTTGTTCTGCCTTTATTCTCCTGTCATTCATACTGACCTCGTTTCGATCATTAGAGACACAGCTAATCATACGCATCAGTGAGAAATGTAGTTATGTTTGGGAACTTGGTGATATAAATGGAAATCACAGGGTCAGTGAAAGAAGCCTACAGGAGCTGATGAAACATATGAGTGTGCCAGAAATGAAATATTGCTTTATTTCCCAGTGTTTCTACATAGCTAGCCACAGTGTGGCTCTAGGATGACTTTGATGCAAATGGAAATATTTAAACTATTAGATGGTTTAAGGTCGATGTCTGTGCAGACGTTCATGGTGCCCAGAGGATGAATCCTAAGAACTTTAATGGGTTTTGCTGTTATCTGTAAATGGCCTCCGTAAATGACTTTTTGGCCCCAGGCTGGAAGGAATGGGCATGGGATTACCAAAATGTGAGCATGAATGTGCTTAGTAACATGACGCCAATTTGAGATATTGATGTTCGATGCTTCCTAAGCATGTTGGATGTAGTTGTTGGCCCAGTACAGGATCAAATATACATCTTATTTCTTGGATGTAGGATGGTTTCTGTTGACACCCACCATTGAAGGATCCTTCAGTGGAGAGGGGCTTTAAGATGAGATTACTGATGGATGGGGCTGCTGCCTGCCTGACACTCACTTTGATTTATGGCTGCATGGATTCATGCCCTGTATAGTAATCCATTTGTGGGACACTACATCATTTTTCTGACAGGAGAATTAGTTTTTTTTTCTGTGATAACTCTCCTTAGTTTACAGCACAAAGGCTTGCAACGTCAAATCCTGTGCACAAGCTAGTCACATCTTTCCAGATAAAAATATTATGTAATGGAGTTGCAGTTCTCTCACTCCGCATGTGACACAGATTTTTTCATTAACAGAATAAGCTTGGCAGGCCTGGAAACCAGATAGTGGTCATTGACAAATTACATTCTTCACCCCACCAATTATTAAACTCCCAAAAAGACCAAAGCCAGTAGTGAACTGAGCCTAGTATGTGTGTGCCCAAAGCCTGATACAGCTTGGTGCTCTGTGCCATAGTTCCATTACTGTCACACTGTTGCACTGGCTGACATGAACCCATTCAGCCAATGTTGTCCTGCTGGGACCTTATATATACAGTGGGTACGGAAAGTATTCAGACCCCCTTACATTGTTCACTCTTTGTTATATTGCAGCCATATGCTAAAATCATTTAAGTTCATTTTTTTCCTCAATGTACACACAGCACCCCATATTGACAGAAAAACACAGAAT